GCGCCCTGGGGGGACTGCGATTGCGCAAGTGTCGACACTTTCGTGGGCTCATGGGAGGCCCAGAGGAGGTGGGGCCAAACGCGGATCACCTGGTTGGCCGCGTGTGCCCCCTTTTTCTGGTCTTTTTTGTTGGGGGGCTGCGATCTGCGCAACTGTCGCCACTTTCGTGGGCTCCTGGGAGGCCCAGCGGAGGTGGGTCCCACGTGGATCACCTCGGGACCTCGCGGCGCCCTGGGGGGCTGCGATCTGCGCAACTGTCGCCACTTTCGTGGACTCCTGGGAGGCCCAGCGGAGGTGGGGCCAACGCGGATCACCTCGGGACCTCGCGGCGCCCTGGGGGGCTGCGATCTGCGCAACTGTCTCCACTTTCGTGGGCTCCTGGGAGGCCCAGCGGAGGTGGGTCCCACGCGGATCACCTCGGGACCTCGCGGCGCCCTGGGGGGTTGCGATCTGCGCAATTGTCGCCACTTTCGTGGGCTCCTGCGAGGCCCAGCGGAGGTGGGGCCAACGCGGATCACCTCGGGACTTCGTGGCGCCCTGGGGGGCTGCGATCTGCGCAATTGTCGCCACTTTCGTGGGCTCCTGGGAGGTGGGTCACACGCGGATCACCTCGGGACCTCGCGGCGCCCTGGGGGGCTGCGATCTGCGCAATTGTCGCCATTTTCGTTGGCTCCTGGGAGGTGGGGCCAACGCGGATCACTTCGGGACCTCGCGGCGGGGCCACCGCGGATCACTTCGGGACCTCGCGGCGCCCTGGGGGGCTGCGATCTGCGCGCATATTGTCGCCACTTTCGTGGGCTCCCGCCATCGCAGCGGATGGTTTGGGGGCCCAACGCTGATCACCTCGGGACCTCGCGGCGCACTGGGGGGCTGCGATCTGCGCAATTGTCGCCACTTTCGTGGGCTCCTGGGATGTCCATCGGAGGTGGGGCCAACGCGGATCACCTCGGGACCTCGTGGCGCCCTGGGGGGCTGCGATCTGCGCAACTGTCGCCCTTTTCGTGTGCTCCTGGGAGGTGGGGCCAACGCGGATCACCTCGGGACCTCGCGGCGCCCTGGGGGGTTGCGATCTGCGCAACTGTCGCCACTTTCGATGGTTCCTGGGAGGCACATCGGAGGTGGGGCCAACGCGGATCACCTCGGGACCTCGCGGTGCCCTGGGGGGCTGCGATCTGCGCAACTGTCGCCGCTTTCGTGGGCTACTGGGAGGCCCAGCGGAGGCGGGTCCCGCGCGGATCACCTCGGGACCTCGCGGCGCCCTGCCAGGGCGCCGCGAGGTTCCGAGGGGATCGCAGTGCGCAGATCGCAGCCCCCCAGTGGGGGGCTGCGATCTGCGCAACTGTCGCCACTTTCGTGGACTCCTGGGAGGCCCAGCAGAGGTGGGTCCCACGCGGATCACCTCGGGACCTCGCGGTGCCCTGGGGCTGCGATCTGCGCAATTGTCGCAACTTTCGTGGGCTCCTTTTTTTTTTTTTTGTTTTTTTTTTTTTTTTTTTTTTTTTTTTTTTTTTTTTTTTTTTTTTTTCTCTTTTTTTTTTTTTTTTTTTTTTTTTTTTTTTCTTTTTTTTTTTCTTTTTTTTTTTTTTTTTTTTTTTTTTTTTTTTTTTTTTTTTTTTTTTTTTTTTTTTTTTTTTTTCGTGGGCTCCTGGGATGCCCAGCGGAGGTGGGTGCCACGCTGATCACCTCGGGACCTCGCGGTGCCCTGGGGGCTGCGATCTGCGCAATTGTCGCCACTTTCGTGGGCTCCTGGGAGGCCCAGCGGAGGTGGGTGCCACGCGGATCACCTCGGGACCTCGCGGTGCCCTGGGGGCTGCGATCTGCGCAACTGTAGCCATTTTCGTTGGCTCCTGGGGGGCCCAGCGGAGGTGGGTCCTACGCGGATCACCTCGGGACCTCGCCGCCCCCTGGGGGGCTTGCGGTCTGCGCAACTGTCGCCACTTTCGTGGGCTCCTGGGAGGCCCAGCGGAGGTGGGTGCCACGCGGATCACCTCGGGACCTCGCCGCCCCCTGGGGGGCTTGCGATCTGTGCAATTGTCGCCACTTTCGTGGGCTCCTGGGAGGCCCAGCGGAGGTGGGTCCCACGCGGATCACCTCGGGACCTCGCGGCGCCCTGGGGGGCTTGCGATCTGCGCGATTGTCGCCATTGTCGTGGGCTCCTGGGATGCCCAGCGGAGGTGGGTGCCACGCGGATCACCTCGGGACCTCGCCGCTCCCTGGGGGGCTTGCGATCTGTGCAATTGTTGCGACTTTCGTGGGCTCCTGGGAGGCCCAGCGGAGGTGGGTCCCACGCGGATCACCTCGGGACCTCGTGGCGCTCTGAGGGGGCTGCGATCTGCGCAACTGTCGCCACTTTCGGGGGCTCCTGCGAGGTGGGGCCAACGCTGGTCACCTCGGGACCTCGCGGCGCCCTGGGGGGCTGCGATCTGCGCAGCTGTCGCCATTTTCGTGGGCTCCTGTGAGGCCCAGCGGAGGTGGGGCCAACGCGGATCACCTCGGGACCTCGCTGCGCCCTGGGGGGCTTGCGATCTGCGCAACTGTCCGCCACTTTCGTGGGCTCCTGGGATTGTGGGGCCAACGCGGAATCACCCGGGACATTCGCGGCGCCCGGAGGGCTTGCGATCTGAGGCAACTTTTTGTTTTTTTTTTTTCATGTGTTTTGTTGGGTTTTTGTTCTTTTTATCTTTTTGTTTTTGTTTTGTCCTCTGCCCTTTGTTTTGCTATTGTTTTTTTTATGTTGTTTGTGGCCACTTTTCGTTGGGATTTTTGTTGTAATGTTCATTACTTCCACCCTTTTTTTTTTTTAGCACTTTTTTTCTTTTTACATTATTCTTTTTTTAATTGGTTTTTATTTTGTCTAATCTTTACTGGTCTTTTTTATGGGAGGCCCCTGGGAGGTGGGGTGTCACGCGGATCACCTCGGGGACCTCGCGGTGCCTTGGGGGGCTGCGATCTGCGCAATTGTCGCCACTTCCGTGGGCTCCTGGGAGGCCCAGCAGAGGTAATTATGTCCAACGCGGATCACCTCGGGACCTCGCGGTGCCTTGGGGGGCTGCGATCTGCGCAAACTGTCGCCACTTTCGTGGGCTCCTGGGAGGCCCAGCGGAGGTGGGGCCAACGCGGATCACCTCGGGACCTCGCTGCGCCCTGGGGGGCTTGCGATCTGCGCGACTGTCGCCACTTTCGAGGGCTCCTGGGAGGCCCAGCGTAGTTGGTGCCAACGCGGATCACCTCGGGACCTCGCCGCCCCCTGGGGGGCTGCGATCTGCGCAATTGTCGCCACTTTCGTGGGCTCCTGGGAGGCCCAGCGGAGGTGGGGCCAACGCGGATCACCTGGGGACCTCGCGGCGCCCTGGGGGGCTGCGATCTGCGCAATTGTTGCGACTTTCGTGGGCTCTTGGGAGGCCCAGCGGAGGTGGGTCCCACGCGGATCACCTCGGGACCTCGCGGCGCCCTGTGGGGGCTAGCGATCTGCGCGACTGTCGCCACTTTCGTGGGCTCCTGGTAGGCCCAGCGGAGGTGGGGCCAACGCGGATCACTTCGGGACCTCGTGGCGCTCTGGGGGGCTGCGATCTGCGCAACTGTCGCCACTTTCGTGGGCTCCTGGGAGGCCCAGCGGAGGTGGGTCCCACGCGGATCACCTTGTGACCTCGCGGTGCCCTGGGTACTGCGATCTGCGCGACTGTCGCCACTTTCGTGGGCTCCTGGGAGGCCCAGCGGAGGTGGGTCCCACGCGGATCACCTCGGGACCTCGCCGATCCCTGGGGGGCTTGCGATCTGCGCAACTGTCGCCACTTTCGTGGGCTCCTGGGAGGCCCAGCGGAGGTGGGGCCAACGCGGATCACATCGGGACCTCGCCGCCCCCACGGGGGCTTGCGATCTGCGCAACTGTCGCCACTTTCGTGCGCTCCTGGGAGGCCCAGCGGAGGTGGGTGCCACGCGGATCACCTCGGGACCTCGCGGCGCCCTGGGGGTTTGCGATCTGCGCGACTGTCGCCATTGTCGTGGGCTCCTGGGAGGCCCAGCGGAGGTGGGTGCCACGCGGATCACCTCGGGACCTCGCCGCCCCCTGGGGGGCTTGCGATCTGTGCAACTGTTGCCACTTTCGGGGGCTCCTGGGAGGCCCACCACAGGTGGGTCCCACGCGGATCACCTCGGGATCTCGCGGCGCCCTGGGGGGCTTGCGATCTGCGCGACTCTCGCCACTTTCGTGGGCTCCTGGGAGGCCCAGTGGAGGTGGGTCCCACGCGGATCACTCGGAGGTACGTCATACGCGTTTCTTCCAACTCCTTGTGTTTCCATTTTGTATATTTGCCGTTCCTCTTCTTGCTGCGCTCTTCTGAAATCACTTCTGGGTGCCCTTCTTGCGCACTGCGGGTCCTTCAGAATGCCCGTCAGCATTGAGTGGTCCTGTTATATAACCATGATGAAAGAGCTCGGCAGCAAGATGCGAACCATACATTCAAAAGGTACAACTCACAGAGTTGTGTATCCACGGAAAAAGTCGGTGGCGAGCGAGGGGGGGAGATGAGAAGGATAAGGCCTTCTCAGAAGGCCTGGGGACTTCCGAGCCTCCTGAGAAGGCCCGCCCCTTCTCACTTTCCCCCCGTGCTCGCCGACGATGTATACGTCCAGAAATCCCAGGTCAGAACTGCCGTTGGATTGCCTCGCGCATTTCCCTCACCGTCGCCCTCGCGACCTCGCGCCGCCGCCCGACGCATGTCGCCAGCCCGCTTTGTCAATGCTGCATGCGAGGTCGAGGTGTGCTTGATTCCAGTGCTGAAGATGTGTTACTTGAGTTAGAGTTGGCTTTGCATCCCGTAGTGAATTATCTCGTTTCTTCAGAAAGGGTGTTGGTGCCAGGGCATGTTTTCGGACTCCAATATTTAGGCACGAATTGTAACAGCGCTTCATTACAGGCTGTGCCGATGTGAACCTACATCCAAACTTCTGCGCGACGCGAGAATGCGAAATGCTGAATAGTTCTGAGGATCCCTCCCGAGGTCATGCAGTTGTTCACCATCGGCGTCGCGAAGGTCGTCACAGACGGCAGAGTGGTCGTCAACGATAAGGGGGAGGACGTGCCGACCTACACCAATGAGAACATCATGAATTTCGCCCGCGTCTTCACCGGGTTCGTCCGCTGGAACGACATGCGCATGAACATCGAGCTGGCTACCGAGGGCTCGACTGCCAACTACATTGACCCCATGAAGATCCGGGGCAGGCCCCACGACATCTATCCTAAGCCAGACCTGTACGGCGGCTACCTCGGCGACGGGTACCCCGTGTGCAGCAGCATGCCTGAACGCCCTTTCCTGCTCGCTGGAGCCAGGTTCGAATTCCGAGGCCAGTCGGCGCCGAATTGCACGGAACTCGACGTCTACTACGACCCGCGCGATATGGCCGGCCAGTTCCCAAGCACGACGCAGGACTCGGATGCCTGCCAGCAGCGCTGCAAGTCCGTGAGCGGCTGTGCGCACTTCACGTTCAGGGTCTTCGATAAGAGGTGCACCCTCGCAGACAGCGGCGCGCGTGCGCTTCCCAGCTACGAGCAGTACTCTGGTCCGCCAGATTGCGCCCCCCTCGTGTTCGAGCCGAGTGCTGGTTCGAGCCTGCTGAGCGCGCTGTGCGGCGGTGACGAGGGCGATTGCAAGTTCGCCCCCTCGCGAACTTTGCCGTCGGCCTCGCCATGCCACGGCTCTGAGTGCTCGTTGGAGTCGCTCACCTACGTTAAGGTACCCGGCGGCTACTACGAGTTCGTGCCGCCACCATGCGTGCACATGTTCTTCTACAACGGAAGGCGAACGGAGGACGGCCAGTGGTGGGGCGAATCGGTATATTATTTCGGGCGTGAGTGCGTGCAGCCATATGGTAAGCTTGCCGCCGCGTCCTGCTGCAGGGGCTGTACGAACGATGAGAACTATTGGATGCAGCTGAAGGGCTTCACCTGCTTGAACCACAACACGACATGGCTCACCTGGCCAGACGGCCTCCCAGCGATGACCATAGAAAAGTGCAGGCACGGGGATGAGTACAATTGGCTGGGTCCCAAGGCTTGCCGGCTTTCATGCTGGGAGGGGGGCGCGGGCTACGAGGGCGACGATTGCAGCGAGGGCGCCTACGCTGAGAGCCGCGTCTGTGGCGTCCACGTCAGCGCCCACGACGCCGAGAGCCACTGCGCCAGCCTCGGTATGCACGTGTGCGCGGAGGAGACCAAGCAGGAGTGCGACCTGCCAGCGGAGCGCGTGTGGACGCCCTCCACGTGTTCGCTCGTGGCGACGGTCCACGAGGACGGCATGATCAGCGCCCACACGCTCAACCACGCCCAGAACAGCTTCATGCCCAGCTGGGCGGATGGCGGCCCCCCGCCGGCGGGCGACTACAACGTCACGGTGGAGGCCGAGCCGGTGTTCACCACCGTCCCGACCAAGGCGGAGGCGGTGGCCGACCTGAAGATTCTCGTGTTCGAGGTGCCCGGCGGCGCCCAGTGCGCGACGCCGTGCAGCGGCGACGTGAGAGTTTGGGGCACTGGGCCTCTGGACGCCGACACCGTCTTCGAGGTCGACGGCAAGCTCTACAAGAACGAGCGGAGCATGGTCCGCGTGGGGAGCGCCTCCTTCCGCAACCCGCCAGCCTTCATCGCCCCAGGGGCGCTCCGCCAGACGGGCCGGGCGCTGGAGCGGGCCGCGCACGCGGAGGTGGAGAGCCTCCTGGACCACCTGTTTTATCACTCCAACACGCCTGTGGTGGTCAGCCGCAAGCTGATCCAGCGCTTCGTCACCTCGAACCCGTCTGGCGATTACCTCGAGGCCGTGGCGACGGCCTTCTCAACGGGCGCCTACGCGGGCCACGTGTACTCTGGCAGGTACGGAGACCTTGCGGCCACGGTCGCGGCCGTCCTGCTCCACCCGGAGGCCAGGTCCGCCGACCAGAACACAGTGGGGCTGCTGAGGGAGCCGATGCTGAAGCTCGTGCACTTCATGCGGTCCATGGAGTACGCGGACAAGGAGGACCAGATGGTCGTCACGCGGAACCTGGACATGGCGATCGGGCAGTTCCCCTACAGGTCCCCGACCGTCTTCAACTTCTACGATGCCCTGTACGCGCCGCCCTCCTTCTCGGGGGTGCAGCAGTCTATGATGCGGCGGGACGCGAAGCAGCGGCTTCAGGCGCCCCGCCCCGAGAGCGCGCGCGCGCGGCGCGCTGGCCCCCGCGAGGCCCTGCATCCCCAGGCCCCGCGCCGCTGTGTTGTTTGCCGTTGCCCGTCGCGCTACCTGCGTCCGCTTGATGGATATGCTGTCTTCCTCGGCCTCTGCTGCGGGGATTCTTGGGGGCCTCGGGCACGGTCTCGTGTGAGCCTCGTCGGGGCTCCTGGAAATTTTTTAGGGCCCTCGGGGGGCTTCTTGGGGGTCCGTTGGGAGCATGTTGGGGGTCTTTGGGGCCATCTTGTGAGTGGGGGCTCCCCTGGCCCCGGCGAGTTCCCCCTCTTGGGCCTCTGTTGGCCCCTCTTGTGGGCCCCGCTGACACACGGGTTTGGCCGCCTTGGGGGCCCTTTGGTCCGTCTCTGGGCCTGCTTTGGGGCTTCTTGGGCCGTCATGGGCGGGTTTGGGGGGCGGGCTCGCGGGCCGCCTCGGGCTAGCAGAAGACCGAACAGGCGAGAACGCGACAGTTTTTCTGAGCCTCAGGCATGTCAAGGAGCTGTGCTTCTTGGGGCTGTCTCAGGGGTTCTCTTGGGGCCCTCTTGGGGCGTCTTCGGGGCCTCTCTGGCTTGTTTTTGCAGGATGAGGAGGAGGAGGTGGAGGAGGAGGAGGAGGAGGAGGAGGCGGCGTATCTGTCACGAGACATGGACTGTACCACGTAGATTGCACCACAGCAGTGGCAACACGCAGCTCACACACGCACACACTGTGCCGTCTTGGAGACATCCTCGGTGCTTTTGTGGATGCCTCTCCTGGCGTCTCGGAGCCTCATGCATGTCAAGGAGCTGTGCTTCTTGGGGCTGTCTTAGGGGTTCTCTTGGGGCCCTCTTGGGGCGTCTTCGGGGCCTCCTGTGCCGTCTTGGAGACATTCTCAGTGTTTTTGGATGCCTCTCTATGGTGTCTTTTGGAGCCCCGCGGGCGCCGCTCCAGAACAAATAAGGCAAGCAACTTGGGGGGCAGCTCGGGAGGCCCCGGGCGGCGGCTCCGGAGGCTCCGAAGGGCCCCAGGGGAGGCTCGCGGTCGGGCCCGTCCCGCCCTGGCAGCATCCTTGGAGGCCTCGGGGGGAGGGGGGAGCCCCTAGCTGCTTCCTCGGGGCGATCGACAGGGGTACTCCAGATTTCGTGATAAAAGGGAGGGGGTCTGGACCCTCCAAGACAAGCCATTTCAGACCTCCCCCGTGGGAGAACCCTCCAAAACATTGTCCCCAGACCCCCCAGGCCCTCCAAGATAGCCTGGAAAAGACCCCCCCCGAAATGAGACCCCCTCCCTTTATTATTTTGGAGTACGGACAGACCGTGCACGATGCCCAACAGCAGTTCCTGCTCATCTTGAGTAGGACTCGCTGTCCGCGCCGCTGCGGACATTGTTCTTTGAAGACAAAAAGCCGCCTGCCCAACAGCGGCCACTGTCGGTTTTGGACAACAGGTTTTGTTGGGCATTGCAGATTTTTCCGTATCCAATTCGGGTGTCTAAAAATTCGTCTCTTCCGATCCGATTTGATTCGAATTCGGTGGCTTCGGTTTCCACTTCGATTCGACTTCGGATTCCAATTTTGGAAAGAGCGTGTTCTACCGCTGCTGGGGGAAAACGGGGGGGGTCACTGGCCCCCCTTCGAAAACCGGGGGGGGGGTCACTACCGGTTCGACCCCCCCCCGCCCCCAGTCCATCATGAAAATGGGGGGGTCACTGCCGGTTCGAACCCCCCCCCGTCGAAAACCGGGGGGGGGGTCACTACCGGTTCGAACCCCCACCCCCCCTCCTCGAACACCCGGGGGGGGGTGTCACTACCGGTTCGACCCCCCCCCTCCCCCCTCGCCGCCGGCAAACGATGCCCGCTCCTCGGGACAGTTGGAGAATGGTGGGGATGTTGGGACAATGGTGGGAACGGTGGTGGTGGGGACAGTGATGCGGGGACAGTGGTGCGGACTGGTGGGGACGGTGGTGGTGGGGACAGTGGTGGGGGGACAGCGGGACAGTGGTGGGAACAGTGGGACAGTGGTGGGGACGGTAGTGGTGGGGACAGTGGTGAAGGAGGTGGTGAGGACAGTGGTGGGACAGTAGTACGGTGGGGAGAGTGGTGGGGACAGTGGGGACAGTGGGACAGTAATGGGGACAATGGGGACGGTGGGACAGCACAGTGGGACAGCGGCGGGGACTGGGACAGTGGTGGGAACAGTGGGGACAGTGGGACAGTGGTGGGGACCGTGGGGAAAGTGGGGAGAGTGGGACTGTGGTGGGACAATGGTGGGGAAAGTGGGGATAGTGGGACAGTGGTGCGGACAGTGGTGATGGGGACAGTGGTGTGGGGACAGTGGGAATGTGGTGGAAACAGTGGGACAGTGGAGGGTACAGTGGTGGCGGCGACAGTGGTGAGGGCGGTGGCGAGGACGGCGGTGGGATAATGGGACAGAGGTACAGTAGGGACAGTGGTGGGGACAGTGGGGACTGTAGTGGGATCAGTTGGACAGCTCAGTGGGACAGCGGCGGGGACAGTGGGGACAGTGGGACAGTGGTTGGGGCCGTGGAGAAATGGGAAGAGTGGAACCGTGTGGGAACAGTGGGGTGGGGACACTGGGGACAGTGCGACAGTGGTGTGGGGCACTGGTGGGGGACAGTGGGGACAGTGTGGTGAGGGCACTGGTGCTGGGGACAGCAGTAGGGTATGTGGTGCGGACAGAGTTGTTTGGCTGGCGGGAGCGGGGGGCGGGGGTGAGGGGTTCGAACTGGTAGTGAACCCCCCCCGGTTTTCGAGGGGGGGGGGTTTCGAACCGTAGTGACCCCCCCCCCCGGTTTTCGAGAAGGGGCGGGGGGCCGAACGGTAGTGACCCTCCGGTTTTCCGGAGGGGGGGGGGTAGGTATTCGAAACCAATAGTGGACCTTCTCGGATTCTTGGGGGGGGCTGAGGGGGGAGGGGTTCGAATCGGTAGTTGACCCACCCCGGTTCGGAGGGGGGGGGGTGTAGGGAGGGGGGGGGGTTTGCCGCGGGGAAGGGGTGAGGGTGGGGGTTCCAGCAGGGGGGGGGGAGGATTTTTTGGAGGGGGGGGAACCCCCGGGTTCCGGAGGAAGAGGGGGGGGGGGAATTTTCCACAGTAAAGCGGCGGTCGATCACGCTCTCTCATATTTTGAGTCCGATGTCGCAATGCGGAGGCCTCACTTGCCTGCTGATTTCCGCCGACTCGACTTCTCTCCCTACTTGGCTGCAGATTTTCGCCGATCCGATTCATTTCGATCGCCGGTCCGACTAATCGATTCGATTCTGGGCTCTCCTGGGAACCTGGGGGAGGGGGACAGCCGATCATCTCACAAGCCTCCCCCCCGGCAGCCGCACGATACACGCGGCTCAGAACAATCGCAGCCGCGTCGATGCTTCGACGAGCCTAGTCTTTCAACGATTCGTTGCACGCTTACCCAAGGATACAAAGTACGCGTGTTTGTTACAGTTTTTTGGTGCTACTCTTGCAAAATGGTTGTTCGTAAGCATGGACCCCCTGGAACGGGCAAGACCACCTTCTCGGTAGCCTGCCTGGACATGTGGGGCTCCTGCCTACGCCCTGGACATGCGGTCGCTTTGGCAGCAGGTTCCAACACAGCGGTGGACCAACCAGCGCTGGCAATGATCGAAGCACAACGTCAGCGGCGCCTCGACCCAGACACGGGTTTCCCCGACAAATTCGTGCGCCTGGCAAAGAAGGACCGTGTCAATGAGGCACTCGTCGACCTGATGCCTGAAGGTCACTACAGGAACGCCCACGGAGATTTCCCGTTCCAGGACGGGGACAAGAGCCAGGACTTCAGGCCCTACAAGGCGAGCTTACTACGGGAGGCCAGGATAATCATGTCTACGCACGAGGCGTCAGAGGCCCTCGGTCAAAAGGACAGCCCACAAATTGTCCTCCTGGTAATCGACGAGGCTGGACAGGCCACAGAGCTCCACGCGCTCATGTCCATGGTAAACCTGATCAACAGTGGTGGGACTGTGGTCCTCGCTGGAGACCCGAAGCAGCTGCCCCCCACGGTGCTCTCCAAGCTGGCAAACGACCTTGGGCTCTGCGTCGGCATCTTCGACAGGATGTTTCACGCACTCCGCGGCCAAGAAACGTCCGTGGTTCATCTCTCGATCTGCTACCGGATGCATCCGCAGCTTCTTGCGTTCCCTAACGCTGCCTACTACGGGAAAGGCATGAAGTCCGGTATCCTGGATCCGCTCAGAGAGAGGCCAATTGTTGAAGGCATCCCCTGGGAGGCATCAGCGCGTGGGAGCCCGGGCGACTGAAGAAGCTGGCGGATCTCACTGAGTCTGACGAAGGTGACCTCCGCGCCACCCTCGAACAGCTAGATCCGCCGCCAAGCGCAGACAAGCACCGTTTCCTGTTGGTTCACACACCCTCCTGGGAGGTCACCTCAGAACTGCAACCAGGCTTCGCCAATCTACCGGAGGCAGTTCAGGCCGTGGACATCGTGCGTGCTCTTCTGCCCGAACTCAACAATGGCACATCTGTCAGGATTGTGGTCGGAAACCAGCTCCAGACGGCGATTCTCATGGATGGGTGGCCGCAGGGTCCTCGCCACCTCTCCGGCGTCCTGCGTAACACTAAAGGAGGCAGGAAAGGGCAGACCGGCAAGGGGAGAGACGGCCCTGGACGCGATGGACCGGGCGCACCTGGACCTGGACAACCCCCTCAAGGCCATAGGGTGGACACTCAGCGCTGGCAACACGTGTTCCGAGAGGACCATACTGTCCATGCTGTTATCAGCTCTTCTTTCCCTGGACTACGGCAGGTTGCGGGCGAGCACATGAAGAGTGGGGCGCTCAAGCTCGCCACAATTGACTCCAGCCAGGGAGGCGAGGCGGTCATCGTAATCGTGTTAACTACCCGGAGCAACGGGAGCTACAACTGGGGTTTCGTCGATGACGCCAAACGTCTGAACGTGGCAATCACCAGGGCTAAGCGGAACATCCTGATCTTGGGGGACGGACGCATGTTCGCCAATGCCACCTGGTCACAGCTTCGAGTACTCTCTGAGTACGGGCGACTGACCCGCCTGTGGGTCCGGTTTCGAGGCCGCGCCCCAGGTGGCCGCAGGCTCTCCCTGGACATCGACGAAAGCTTCGACCCACTCCAGGACCTCGCTGCATGGATGCCCTCGCCCGTCGCCTGGAACCGTGACGTAAAGGGGTAGAACGGGCAGAACGAGTTGGATGCCGCCAAGAAGAAAGCACGTGATGCCCAGGCCACCAGTTTCGCTGAGCGCTTTAATGCGCCCCTGGACGAGCACTTCGACTGGGAGACCCTGGGTAAACTAATCTCGGGAGGGCTCCGCGATATCCTTTCGACGCCTGCCTTCCATGTGCTCATATACCTGATGTCCGGGCTACACCCTCGCGAATTCTCACTGGCCACGACGCCGCGACGGCCCGGCATGCTTGACCGCAAGGCTTGGTCGCATCTGGGCTTCTTGTTTGACGTGTCTCTGGGGCTCGACGCGACCAATCTAGTCTACAACATGCGGTGGGCAGCAATCGTGTGGTCGCTGGGCCTGGGCACCCCCTGGCAGGGCGCGAGCTACGCCGTCCCTGGCGACCCCCTTCCCCCGTTGCCTCACGCCAGCGGCAGGCGTGTGACACTCTGGAAGCGCCGCCAGTGCACCCCCAAAGGGCTCTTCCGTCAGGTCCCCAAGGTTTGGAGCACCGCTACCAAGGACTGCTGCCGACACAGGAGGCACCCTGGAATGGCCGGGTTGGGAGAGATCCTCCGAGGGTGTGGTGCCATGATGGAAGAGTTCCGCGAGGGAATCACAGACACCGACGGCCTCCCCATATATTCCTGCAAGGCCCGGTCGCTTCTGGTTGTCGTGATGCTCATGCTCCGCGAACCGCGAGTGTTTCTGTGGCCTTTCTCTCGTGCAGAACAGGCCGGGGACGCCATCGAAGCCATTCTGGGGTTCTGCGTTCCCTGGCAAGAGGTCCACCTGGATTTCCGAAGCCAGTTCGCCCGCGCCTGGGGCCTCACACTGGAAGACCTGGCCGACCTGCGCGGCCGCATCGAGGCGGTTCTTCCCCACATCTCCAAGCTCGTGGCATTGGCGCATCACCGCCCGGCCGCGCGGGAAGCCGACTGCCCGCAGACCTGGAGCGAGATGGACAGGCAAGACTTCCAGCTAAAAGCGCCTATGCTTGTCCTCGAGCAGATCGTCCCGGCAGCAACTCTGACCTCCCTGGACGCACGCGGCTGATCAGTTTGTGCGCTTCACGTCGCGCTGGCGGGGACCGATGCCTCCCTGGGTCCTGACGACCGGGTTGCGGGTCTTTCCTACATCGGCGGCGGGAGTGCCTTGTCCAAGACCGACCTCAATGCCCCCCCGCCACCAGCTCCCGCCCCAGGCACCAGGCTGGACCCTCCAATCATCCCCAACGAGAGGCTCACGCTCGAAAAGAAGAACGGCAGATACACTTGCGACAGATGCGGAAAGGACCAGCTGAGTTCCGCCGAGGGCACCTGGATCTCTGACATCACGCGCCAGATGGTCGCTCAGAATAGGCCTCAGGCCTACATCAACGGCGCCAACATGGGGTGGTACTGCGAGGTCTGCTGGGTAAACCACCTGGAGGATCAGGGCCTCCCTACGCCTGCAGGTGCGAAGCTTGCCGACAGAGTCAAGGGGCATGAGCAGCAGACAACGGGGGCCAACAATGACCGAGCGAGCGCCCTCCCTTCCCTGGGGCATCTTCCGCTCGGCTTTGGATGCAGCCCCCTCGAGGACACGAGGAGGTTGGCGGACCTCCTCATGGTGCCGACGGGCATGGAGGTCCCTGAGCGTGCCAATACCACCATTTCCATCCTACGGATCCGGGACGAGCGCTTCGGTCTAAAAGCCGCACAGACGCGGACCTACTTTGCGAGGTGCGACACCTGCCCCCAGGTGGGCCCACTCGTCGTCTGCGACCCTGGCTCCCCGCCCCTGGGGTGTTTCATATGGAAATCGGCGGAAGGTATAGGCGTTCCCGAGCAAGCTGGGCTGCCCCCCATCGACAAGCGTGCCCTGGCCTGGTGGGGTCGCCAATGGAACGCTACATGGTGCTTGGTCCCAATCTGGAACATAGGTCCGGCCACCCTGGACCACATCCTGGATCGGGACTTCAGGTCACTGCATCCGGAAAAACCTCCAATCCTTCCTCCGCTCAGCAGCCAGATTGGATTCGAGGCGCCTGTGAACATCACTGATTCTCTTCCGTGGCTGGGCGTGGACGCCAAGGCCCAGGATCAATTCACCGAGGTCGGAGCAGGCAATCTCCCTGGACCCAGCGCCGCGGGCGGTACTGGTGCAGCGTCAGAGACAACCCCTAGGACCCCCACCCAGCTTTTGGACCTCCTGCAGGACCTGCCTGCACCGCAGGGCCCGCTCCTGGGCGACAGGAACGTCTCTAATCCCACCCTGGGCGCTGTAGACCCCGGCAGACCTGGCCCCAGTGGACTGTCCGCACGGCGATCGCTAGTAACCTTCCTCCGTGATTTCCATCCTGGATTGGAATACACCTGGAGGCAGTTTTGTATCGCCAACCGCGACAGAAGCGCCCCGGAGCCCAGCTACGACGAGGCCTCCTTGCCTGACGAGCTCCTGTCAGAGTTCCTTAGGACCATATACGGCGACTATATCCCAGACGACTTTCTCCCTCCCAACCAGCACTGGGAAGGCAAGCGCGTGGCCGCGGCGCGAGTCATAGCACGCCTGGCCAACGGCGAGAGACATAAGGAGCCCTGGAGGACTTATGCGGCGACGCTTGCCCCGGCAAATGGCTTCGACCCCATCCGACATGAGATCGGCACGCTGACGGGCTTCCTACTCAGCCTCGGTGCCGATGCCCTCGCTGCTACTACCATCACCTCCTTGACAGAGTCTCCCCCAACGGGCGCTTTAGCCATGGGCGACGACAGACCAGACACTCCCATGGCCGCTGACACCGACAGGTCCCTGGGCACGATGGACAACGACTCGCGTATGGGCCACCAGGGCCCGCCCGACCACAACGGCAACGACGAGAGCACGGAGGAAGAGATCCCTCCTGCAAAGGTGGGGTCTCCGGACTTCGGGGATGACGAACCACCTCGTCCTCTTACCTGCTCAGAGTCGGCCCAGGACGACGACGATGATCGCTCAGGCGATGAGGCGCCTCAGCAAAGCCCATCGGCGGGCAGCTCCGACGCCGGCCGCGACGAGACTGCGACCTCAGCCGAGGAGGAAGCGCCCTACGCCGACCGCCGTAGCGGTCCAGCCCGTGATCCCACGAGGGACGAGAGAACCCGCGACCGAGATGACTCGCGGTCCGAGCGCTCTCCCGCGCCCACCCCGCAGCTCCCTGGACAGAGGCGCTGTCGCCCTGCCCATACTGGTACATCGGAGCAGGATGCACTCAACCGGTTGACCTGTCCGGAGGGGGGCGGTTCCATGTACAAAGTCCGGCTGGGCACAGTTGACCTCGAGCGTCCCAATGAGACTCCAGCCAAACGCACAACCGGGCTTCAGTCGGAGCTGGGCGCAGTCTTCTGCGCGCTTTGGACAGCAAACACGCAACGAACTTGGATCCCTGGACCCCGGGCGCCCAAATCCGACGCGAAACTGCACGCGGCCGCGGACATCAACAATTTTCTTGACGCCTGGAAGGACTGTGGGTATTATGACGCCTACGAGATGAACACGAGGCTGGGCTATGGCATTGACTGGGACAGGCTACGAGCCAAATACCTGCGGCACTCCCGTACAGACGACAGGGGCAAAGGCAGCTACCACCAGACCGGCTGGCGGGGCCGCGCGTCGAGCTCCTGGAACACCTGGGCAGCTGGCAGGGCGAGTGGAGTGACGGGTGGCGCGAAGATCGCTGGCAGACGGGTGGCAAGCGCGGTGGTGACTGCCCCGGCGATCGGGGCGATAGAGATGAAAAGAGGCTCCGCTGGAGAGACTGAGCCCACTCTTCGCTCTCTCCCCGCCCCAGCGCCTGGCGCCACCACCTGCACCTCTCTACGCACTGTTTGCGGCCCTCCGCCGCCTTCCTTCTCCAACCGTGGGGCAGCGCCACCGCCCCCCCCCCCCCGGGCGGCACTCCTCCTACCTTTCCACCTTGAAGTGCCGCTCAGTAATACCATCTGCACTCTGCGTGACAACGCGCATCCTGCAGACCCACAGGCCACTGGCTCCGCTGCCTTACTCTACCGGTGGCCCCTGCACTCTCGCCGCAAGGTTTCCTCGTTCCTGGCTACGTTTCACATCCTGACATCCTCCTGGCGCTGCCTTGGCCGCGCCGCGGGCCCCTTAAAACCTCCTGGCGCTGCCTTGGGCCGCGCCGCGGGCCCCTTCAATTGCGGCGCTCTGCCGCCTTATTCCGGTGTGCGCACCTCCTGCCTTTGGATTCAGGTGCGCGCCTCGGTAATACCGTCCACAGCCCGCCCGCTGTTGGACTGGCGGCCTCCGGGCCCTACTCCAGGTCTTTCACCGCCAGGCGTGCCCCGGCCCGTGTCTGTGGACGCTGGCTTGCCTGTCTACAGGCCCACTCCCTGGATCTTAAAAGCTGAACGGCCTTCCGCCGTGACCCTGGATCGAAGTGGCTCTGAGGGATGCGTCTTGGGTATATGACGGTCTCGTCCCTCGGGTGCTATTCGACTCGGTGTGGGTGGCGCTGAGACACTTTGGATGTGCACGCGCCACGTGGTCGACCGCATCGTGCACTACGACGCCCTTCCACTCGATGGATCTGGGTTGACGCATCTCAGTTGTGGAAGGTTCTCCTGTCGTCATGCTCCACACCCTGGGTGCGCGTTCTTGCGTCGCGACTTGGACTCGCCGTCAGGTTGTTCCGCTGGACTTATGTCCCCAGTCAGTCTGTGTTACCCGTCAGACTCCCTGGATCGACGTCCTCAGGAACTCTTAAATGCTGAACGGCCTCCGCCGTGACCCTGGATCGAAGTGGCTCTGAGGGATGCGTCTTGGGTATACGTAGGTCTCGTCCCTCGGGTGCTATCCGACTCGTTTTGGGTAGCGCTGAGACACTTTGGATGTGCGCGCGCCACGTTGTCGACCGTGTATCGTGCACTACGGCGCCCTTCAACTCGTTGGATCTGGGCTGACGCATCTCAGTTGTGGAAGGTTCTCCTGACAGCATGCTCCACACCCTGGATGCGCGTTCGGGCGTCGCGACTTGGTGTCGCCGTCAGGATTTTCCGCTGGACTTATGTCCCCAGTCAGTCTGTGTTACCCGTCAGACTCCCTGGATCGATGTCCTCGGGAACGTTCCCTCTGTTCGCATCTGGACTTCTGGGAACGCCTCACGCGCCATATTGGCTGCGATTGGTCTCCTCGGTGCCTGTCCTCAGGCTCGTTGGATGCACCGTTGCATGCCCGTCCAGGGGCTGTCTCAGACCCCCTGGATTGCACGTCGGCTTTGCCGCCCTGGGCGCTGCCCCCCTCCGCCGCCTGATCCGCGGCCCCCGCGCGCGCTCGGCAATTTAGTCGCGGCCGTAGCCCGCCCGCGACCTCCCGCCGCTGGCGCTTCTGCCTGCGGCTGTAAAAAAGTGTATCCGCTCCAGCTTATCCAGAGTCGATCCTGAGGTGGGTTGCCTTGGTCAGGGCACTGTAGGAGCATGCAGTGGCACGCAGAGGGAGGGCAGCAACCCTATCACCCTCTCATTTCCCGTCGCATCTTCGCCCGTATGCTGGGGGGCCTCCCGCGAAGGTCTTTGCGGTTGACTCCAGAGCTTTTCAAGAGCCACGATGCGCGAATGCAGTCAGCCATGAAGGTCTTCGCTTCTTTGGGTCATATAACGGCGGCGTTATCGCAAACCTTTCGGGTCTTGGGACTCTCTTGGGGCTCCCTCTTGGGGTCCTCAGGGCCCTTGCGAGCTGATCCAGGAGATCATCGATCAAGAAAGGGAGTGAGTTCAATGAAGCACCCCTGTCGGGGCCCTCCCCGCCTTCCCTCGTCGTCGTCGTCGTCGTCGTCGTTCTCGTCGTCGTCGTCCTCCTCCTCTTCCTCCTCGTCCTCCTCCTCGTCCTCCTCCTCTTCCCCCTCTTCCTCCTCCTCCTCCGTAGCCATTTTGGCTCAAGGGGGGGGTTTGAGGTAGGTTTGGTTCAAGCCACACCGGTGCCGTATTCTCCCGGCCTGTCGTACTTGGGTTGGTCAGCGTGTGACTCAAGTTCGGTGCCTCCCCTGTGGGTTGCTTAGTGACTCATTTGGGTTTTGACAGTTCTTGTAAGTGGTCCCTCTGGATGGTGCGGGCCCGACTGGAGCATCAATTCGATCATGCATACTCGTCTTATTGTTTCTCAGCTCCTCCCTCCTCCTCCTGGAAAAGGAAGATGCGTAGATTTCGATTGGTTGCGTTTCGACAAGCTCAATTTGACTTCGGCACAGTGGGTTTTCAGTCAGGTGACAAACCATTTGACATCTATGATTCTTTGAACAAATATAACATTCTCTTGGGTTCTCCTTCAGTAGATGTGGGTTATCCTTACGTGGGTTATCCTTCAGCAGATGTGGGTTACCCTTCAGCTTATGTGGGACTTGCTTCAACAGATATGGGTTCTTCTTCAGCAGACGTGGGAATGGACACATCTTCGGCGAAAGGGGGTCTCTCTTCAGCGGATGTGGGACCTTCCACTACAGATGTGGGCTCTGTTTCAGTGCCGGTGGGTTCTTCTTCTCCCTTTTTGGGTTGTCCTTCAGCAGATGAGGGTTTTCCTTCAGCAGACACTGGACTTTCTGCAGCAGCGGTGGGCTTTTCTTGTGTCTTACTTCCGAATGAGGGGGAAGGGGACGGGATGAGCAGGAAGGAGGAGGATGAAAAGGAAAAGCGGGGCCATGGGTTGGCCGGTGCCTCTTCTACGTGTCATACACTTCGCAAGTGTCCGGATGAGTTCTCCATTGGGGCTGGCGTCCATATTCACAGTCTTACCTGTGCCGCAGGGAGGAACCTGAATGGACTGAGCGGCCACATATGCACTTGGGACGTCGCTTCAGGGCGGTGGGGCGTTCGAGTTTTGGGATTTCCAGATGTCAAGTTAATCAAAGAGTGTAACTTACGTCAAGGATCTAGACGCTACACGGGTAATCTTCGTCCTCGTCCTCCTTCAGCAGATGTGGGTTCTCCTTCAGCATATGTTGGTTCTCTCTCAGCAACTGGGTGTTCTCCTTCAGCAGACGTGGGTTGTCCTTCAGCGGATAGGTGTTCCTCCCTAGCATATGTGGGACTTTCTACCGCAGCTGCGGATTCTTCTGGTGTCAAAGTTGCTCCTACGATGGACGGCAGTTTTTCGAACGTGGGAGGGAGCGGGAGGAGGAGGAAGGAGGAGGACGACGAGGAAAAGTGTGGCCAGCATGGTGCTGTCTTGGGTTGCAGCGACAATTGCTCACGTCCCAACAGCTGCGTTTCTTTGCCCAATGATCCCGCGTTGTCAGAAGCCCATGCCGCACCTGTCTCTGTATCTCCACAATTAGTTCCCGAACCGCCTAAAGTCAGGGCTGCGCCCGTCCCCGGCGACGCTGTGGACTCCCAGCCTCCTCCTTTGTCCCGCGTAAGGGAAGTTTCGGTTGGACATTTCCGGCAATTTCTCATGGTCAGTGTGGCAGAAACTCATCCGACGGGTCCCGAGGTCGATTTGTTGTTCAGTATGGGGGACGTTGGGGACATGATGCAAAGATTCGCCGAAAGAGAAGTGGACAGGTTCTATGGGCACCTCGTGACTTTGGATAGTGAGCTGAAGACGTTGCTGCCGCCCAGGAGGGGCGATTCGACTCAGCTCTATTCGGTCTATATATCGAACATGAGCGAAATACTTGTTGCAATGGCGGGGGGTATCATGGAATTTTTTGGGCACGACAAGGAGAAAATCCACACTGTGTGCAAAGCAATTCGGACGGATGCCGATGCTTGTGCAGATCACATTTGTACGAATATGATATATGATTTCACTCACCGCGATTATATGCAAACCGTGGCCGACCAAATGGAGACATGGGTTGATCAGTTTGGGATTCACATACCAGGCTGTTTCGTCCGGCGACGGGACGGTGTGGACAGATGGTATTCCCATTTTGTTCCTTAGGCTGTGGGTTTGCCCTCTTTAATTTGGTTTTTAGTTTACAAGACGGCCGTTTTCTGTTAAGTATTTCTGCCTTCTGGGTTGTCACTGGGACGCAGGGATATTCATTTCACGTCTCGGACATGTCTGCACCTGGGACCTTGTCTTTCTTTGTTTCTTTGGGTTGTATTCCCTTGCTCAATTCCAACAGGTCAGTGGGATTCAAATCTTGGGTTGGTTTCTTGTCATCAGTCACGCCGACTCAGCGGACCTGGGTTTGCCTTCAATTCTGTTGCCTTACACTTGGGTTGAATCTTACAGCTCACTTATGTGCATCACTTCTGTGGGTTCTGTTTTGGGTTGAAACGTTTTCTCCTGTCTTACTCCCTCTCCTTCTTCTGTCTTGAGTCCCTGCCTCGCGCTTTTGGCGCCTGGTGGCTTCTCAGTGTTCGTGGTTTTGGAGGACCGACCTTTCAAGGCGCTTCATCATCATCATCATCATCCTCCGTAGCCATTTTGGCTCAAGATGCCTTGCTCCCTCGGGGTCAGAGTGGAGACCTCTGATCCGAGGACAGCTCTCGCCAGCTTCCAGCTCCAGGGGCGCGCGCCCCCCTGGAGTGCCGAGACTACCGCGTGCCTAATGGAGAGCGCGTTGTCTCCGCGCCGCGCCGTGTCAAGAAGAAGGCAAAGGGCAAGCTCCAGAAGTCCGCTCGTGGCGAGGATGCTTGGGGGCCCGTGGATGTCGCTGATGACTCGCATGATGATGGCGCTGCTGCATCTGGCAATCACCCTTCTGGCGCCCATGGTCCTGCCCCTGCACAGGCTCACGCTGATGGTGATGAGGGGCATGGTGACGCCACGGAAGAAAGCGACGAGGAGCACGACCGCGACGCCTACGTTCAGCGACTGGCAGGCGACCTCGTCTCCAAGAAGATGGCCGAGCGCAGGGATGAGCTCATCAAGGACCTCGCGGCTGTGGTCTCCACGACCGTCTCCGAGCAGGTGCAGAGCTTCGCTTCTCAGCTTAATGAGCATGCTGCTTCTGCTAGCAAGCTCGCTGAAGGAGCCCGGATGCTGCCCCAGCTGGCCCGCGACGCCTCCGAGCAGTTCTGCTCCGACAAGCTCGACCAGTTGCAGCGCAAGTTCCAGGCTCAGCTCGATGGACACACGATTCGACTACGCGCTTCTGAACGACGCCTGGATGAACACGATGCCGTTCTGCAAACCCTCAAAGAACAGATTGAAGAGCTCCGTGGTGCATTGGCGCTTGCCGACAAGGCGCCGAAGCCTCCGCCTGCCAGCGCCGCGGGATTTGAGCGCTCCGTCGACGCCGCCATCATTCGCGTCATGGCCTCCAAGTTGGTCGAGCTGGACAAGGTCAAGCAGGCTCTCGCGGATTGGATTGCCACGGTGGGAGTGGAGGCCAAGCGCTTCGAGATCACCTCCGAGGAGAGCGTCGCCCGCCAGTTCACGATCCAGTTCACAGGCGCTGTTGGCCCAGCCGCTCGTAGGGTCGCCAAGGTCTTGGGCGCCCAACGCATCTCAGCTGGCAATTGGAAGCGTTTCGAGGTGGTGGCCACTGATAACTTGCCAGCCACGCTCCACATCGGCGCTGACAAGAACCCGCGGCAGATCAAGCTCGAGATCCAGGGGCGCAAGATCCGTGCGGCGTTCGCTGACATCGTCAGCGACAGGAAGTGGTTCTGCGACCGCGACAGGGGCTACATCATGGCAGGCTGGGACCCTGTCCTGCGCATCTCGCCCAGCCCTGGCAACATCTCCTCCGAGGTCGCCTGGGCTGACAACTTGGTGCAGAAGCTCGGGCTCCCCAAGGATCGTCTGGCCGAAGCTGTTCGCGCGGTGGTTGCACCGCCTGAGGCAGCAGAGTGGAATCTTTAGCGGCTTTGCCTCCGCCATTCATGGTCCTCTGGCTGGTGCACCCTCCTTCTCATTTTCCTCGTGGAATGCTCGTGCCCTTCTTCAGTATCGCGCTGCTCATGCCCGTCCCAAGCTTGCCTACCTCAAGCGCCTGGACTTCGCTCGAGGTATCGTCGCCCTCCAGGAGGTGCACCAGGACCATGAGCAGCTAGCGGACTTTCTTGCCAAAGTGTCTCCGGGGGCTCGTATTTACACCAGTTACTGTGAGGGGTCTGCAGTGCGGGGTGGTGTGGCTACGATTCTTCCTTCATTATGCAAGTCCTCTGTTCATCACCGAGAGCTGGTTCGGGGGCGCGTTCTTCGAGTAGTTCTTTCTTCGGAAGGTGTTCGCATTTTTCATTTCAATGTACACAACCATGATCTTTCTCCTGGTCAGCTCTCTTTGGTCACAAAGGTTTTGGCGACTGGCCTTTCCTGTGCTCATGCTGACCCGCTCCACAACGTGGTGGTAGTCCACGGCGACATGAACTTTGCTCCTCGGCCACCTCTTCTTCTTCATCAACCTGACCGCCACCTTCGCGAAGGCAAGGGCCAGCATGCTCAGGCGGCACGTTGGAAGCGGGCCCTTCAGGATATGATGGAGGTCTCCTCGGATGAACCTACTCATTACGATCGGCTTTCGCACTCAGTCTCTATTTTGGACCGCTTCTGGCGCAGCTGGCCTGGGTGGATTATGGCGCAGATTACTTCCGAGCCCTCTGTCGTGGATTGCCCTGGGGCTCTTGCAGATCGTCTTGTGAGCGACCATGCAGCTCATGTTGTTCGGCTCGCCCAACGTCTCGCGAAACCTCGGAAGCAGCAGCGGATTCCTCGTCATCTCTTTGAAGCTGTGGGCTATCGACAACAGCTTGAAGCGGTGCGTTCCAAACTCGACTATGCCAGCAAGAGTCCTCCGCGCCAGGTGGAACTTCACAAGTGGGCCTTACGTGAAGTAGCTGCTGACTTTCGTGATGGACAATTCACGCGTGCATCTGAATCGCTTCACTCTCTGCTTCTTCTGGCCCGTCAGATTGCTCGAGTAGTTTGGCGCAGCGACTTTCGGTTGGCCTCCCTGCTGGTTTCTAATCGCTCTTCGGCGGCGGACTTTCTTGACCTATCGCGGCACAGAGTCCAACTTCGTCACCCTGCTTCTTTTCAGAGCTGGTGTGATGATATCCAACGACGGCATGCTGATCACCTTCGTCGGCGTCTTGAAGAGCAACTTGCGCGGCCTCAGGCTCCTCAGGCTCTCCGGCGCCAGATGGCTGCGATCGAGCGCCGTTCAGCAATTTGGTCTCCCTTGAACCGTCGTCTGGTCCTTCGTGCAGTCAAACACCCCAATGGCACCACGCATGCATCGAGTGACTCGGCTGTTATGACGCAGCGCTTGGTTGACCACTGGGCTCCGATATTCAGGGCGAAGAGTATTGACCAGCAATTGGCGCAGTCTTACATCGAGCAGCACGTCCCACCGCTGGACTTCGCGCGGGTGGCGCCACCGTCCCCTGCTTTGCTTCGTCGTGTTGCTCGCAAGATGCATTATTCGGAGCCTGGCATTGACTCTATTCCGTATTCAGCTTGGGCAGCATGTGATATTGGCCTTGATGTTCTGGCTGAAGCGATGATGTGGATCATGAGTGGGCAGTTCCTGTTCAAGAGCTCCAATGACACGCTCCAAGTATGGCTACCTAAGGGCGAGGAGGTGGACGACTCCTGGGCCCCTGGGTGCACTCGTGCCCCGAGCTCGGTTCGTGTCCTGGGCCTCCGCAACACAGACATCAAGCTGATCACGGCGACTATCAACCTTCAGTTCAGCAAGCTGCTCATGGACTGGGCGCCGCGGTCTCAACGGGGCTTCGTTCCCAAGCGCAACTTCGGCACCAACATCTTGGAGCTTGACGTGGCCTCCCGAGTTTACTCCAACGCCCCTGGCGCCACTACAGATATGCTTGCCCTCGTCGCGCTGGACTTTGGTGCGGCCTTCCCCAGTCTCGCTCAAGCTTTTATGACTACGGTCTTCCAGCGGATGCGCGCGCCCTTAGCCTTCATGGCGGTCCTGGAACAACTTTACCACATATTGGATGCGCTGGTCATGCTCAACGGGACTCCTACCCTTGCATGGCGTATTTCGTCTGGCATTATCCAGGGCTGCTCTTTGAGTGGATCTATCTGTGCAGCGGTGACGACCTGCTTCCTGTTTGACCTGCAGAAGCGGCTGGAGGCACCACGGCTGGGGTTGGCTCGAGCGTGCGCGGATGATATAGGCTGCGTGGTCAAAAGGCTGTCCGCCCTCAGCATCGTTGTTGATGTCATGCGCACCGCAGAGGCTATCGCCACTCTGTCGCTCAAGCTCACGAAGTGTATGCTGGTTCCTCTACATGCTGCCTTCTCGTCGGCTCTTGTGGCAGAAGTCCGTGCGGCGATTACCTCCTGGGTCTCATCCTTCGCGAACGTTCAGATTGTCAGTGCTCTGGTCTATCTCGGCCTTGCCATGGGCCCTGCTGCTGACGACGATTCATCCTGGTTGGCACCCTCTATCAAGGTCAAGCTCCGCTCGAAACTGGTTGGTGGCAGCCCGATGGCGGTCCCTCGGCTTGCTACTCACTATGCGACCCGTATCGCGCCCGTGCTCTCCTACGTTGCGCAGTTCAGGATGATGCCTCCCTGGCTTCTTCGTGAGGAGCTTCTCGCTCTGGCACGCACTTTCAGGGTCCCGCTGGGTGTCTTCAACATATCGGCTTGGCTTCAACTACGCGGTGCAGGTGGACCGTCTGTTCCTTCGTGGCTGGCATTGAGCTTGGGGGCTCTCAACCGCACGGCACGATCGACGCAACCCACTTTCTGTCATCTACATGGCTGGTTCCGTCGCCAACATGAACGCCTCGGTGATCACCGCTCACTCTCGCAGACGGCTTCGGGGCGGCCTTACCCTCATTTTTGGAAGTCCGAAGCCTTTGTGGAAACTTTGCAGCGGGCTGTGGAGGCATCTTCGATCAGGGCTTTTCCAGCGTACACTACGCAACGTCTCACTACCGCGACTGCTGCCGCCTCAGCCTGGCTGACTGGCAGAGAGAGGGCATCGGGACTTCAAAGGCACATCACTGCGATGGTTCGCAAACTTCTGGTTCCGCACCCACTTTGGGACTGCTTCGTGGGCAGGCTGGTGCGCACCTTCCCTCATGTGGTCGATGGGGGTCGCTCGCTTATCCCGCCAAAACGTTGGACACACATCATGAGGTACCTTCGCGGCTGCTCCATGCCCTGGGCGTTTGCTTACCCCAAGACAGTTGCCAACGGATGGTTGACCTCGCACCGCATCCTGCAACCGCATTGGAGGCTTTGCTGTCGCTTCGGATGTGTTGACCAACCTGATGCTTTGAAGCATTATCTTGAATGTGTTCCTTTCAGGCGGCTGGTGGAGCAGGAGCTTGGCTACTCGCGGCCTGCCTCCGCTCTGTGACGGCTGAGCCTTCTCGGCAGTGCTGTTCAACTTGACCGCGTCGTGTTCGACGTTGTCGTGATGTACTACACTTACGCTGCGGTGGCTCATGGCACTAACTCGCACATGTGGTCTCCCTCGGCTGCGCGCTCCTTTGTAAAGGCGGCGGTGCGCGCCGCGAAGCTGGGAGCCTCTTCGCCTGCCCGTGCGCCGATGGTGTCGTCGGCTCCAGCAAACCACTTACAGCCATCATCCTCGGTGTCCTCGGCGTCATCCACATCGTCCCCCCCTCTGGCTCATCTTCTTCGACGTCCTCACCGCCTTCGTCTCCGTCTCCATCGGCGACTACCGATGTCAACATTGTTGCTGCTGCTGCTTTTGCGTTGGAGTCATCGCTATCTGACACGGAGAGCACGCTCCTCAATGTGCCTTTTGCATCGACAGCTCTGGCTCAAAAGACACTTGTGGCCAGCACGTACGACTCGCCATTCACCGATGTCGAGAACATGCGGGCTATGGGGCCCCTCCATGTTCATGCTTGCGTGGCGAGCCTCGCTTGTGGCTCCTACTCTACGCCTACGGTACCTTCATCTTCTTTGTCTTACTCTGTGGGTAACACAGCGGTCAGCAACAACGTGATCGTCGTGGACTCAGAGCCCTCAGACGACAACTACATCTGCGACACCTTGGCGATGCAGATGTACGGTGCCTCAGGCTCGTCCCCGTCGGCCCCGCCGTCAGGCTTAAGTGAAGCATTTCGCCGTCATGAGTCGTACCAATCATTGGTGAACACGGTGGGTCGGTGGTCACAAGCTTGGGTTCCGTCCTTCGCGCTCTCTACTCCAGGCAGCGACTTCGACCAGTGGGTGTCATGGTGCCTCCCATATCTTGATGGAGTACTACGCTACGAGGATTTCGGCGCTTTTCTTCAGCTTGTTCACGATAGGCCTGGCTTGAGTTGCGCTCGTCGTCTGGTGGCATCGGAGGTCTGTCTTCATGGATGGTACTTGGGAGCTGGCCCCCGAGAAAGGTTTCGAAGTCGGCGTTGTGAGGCATGGGCCGTTCGTGCTGATCTTCGTTTGCTTCAGGTTCGTCGCTGTGGACTTCGCCTCCTTCGGCAAATGGCCTGGCGTCCTGATCTGTCTCGCGTGCCCTCTACTGCCCGTGCAGACTACTTGGCGAAGCAGAGCTCTTGTACCTCAGGTGGCGTACCTGCTCTTCTCCCACATTTTCACTTACCGCCACATCGTGCCTCACCTGCTTCTCTGTCTGCGCACGACACGATCGAGGAGCCAGCTCCTGATGAAGACGATATGAGTATTGGGGACGACGGCTTCCCCACCCCGACGGCACTGGACTTAACCATGATGGAGGAGGACGCTGGGGTGCCTACGGTTGCACCTGGTGGCGATGGCCCCGTGCCTGCGCACCTCGATGATGAGCAGATGTCGGCGGACGAGTACAGGCGCCACTTCGGCCCCATCCTTTCCGACACCGAATTTGAGGCTCAATTGCAAAGTGCTTCCCGACGCCCTCGACTGGACACAGCTGGCAATACGTCCAACCTGACTGCGGCGTCCTCAGACGGCACAGCGGTCTCCCTTCCAGCGGATGCTCCTGGCGACGTCCCCGCTTCTGACGCTGCGGTCCGCCGCTCACGTTCATCGAGCTCTTCGGATGGCGCCTTCGGCGAGCTGATGGCCAGACATGGTTTCGGGGTGATCTACCCCAGTGGATCCTTAGGTGGCGCCTTACGTGGTCAAGATCCTGATGCTCCGCAGTCGGCGGTGTCTACTGCGGCAGCTGCGCCGCAGAATGCCCCTCAGCATGCTGAACAACCACAGGTGCTTCCTGGCGCCTCTTCGGCAGGGACTCCTCCTTATGGTGAGGCAGGTTCTCTTCAACTCGATGCTCTTCAAGAGGCTGGCCGCTTTGCGCAGTCGGTCGTACGTGCCTCGCGCTCATCCTTACCTGGCTCCAGTGGCGCGAGAACCCCTTTGTCGTCGACGGAGCTCGCGGCCGTGGTCGCCCACCTGGATTTGAACTACAACCTCCCACCCCCTCAACGCGAACTGGTCATCTGGCTGCTGACTCACCCTGCCGCGATTCTGGAGGATGAGGACGACCACGACCAGTCGTCGCCCGCCTTCGGCCAGAACGTCATCTTCCTGGAGCACCTCGACAGCAACGCGAGTTCGCAGCCTGACTCTGAAGGTATACGTACTGACCTGGTGTCGCAGGAGGAGTTGATGCGGCTTGCCCGCCCCAGCGCCAGTGCCCTCCCAATGGCGTCACCTCATCCTGGAGCAGAACGGCTTCCTGGGCTCCATGATCACCTTGATCCTCGAGAGAAATCAGAGGATGAAGGTCAGATTCCTTTCGCGCATCATGACACGTCTGTCCCCCTCTCCGTCAATTTCGTGAGTGCGCCCGAGGGGGACTTGCCGCCCACGTTGCCTTCTGACGTTGGCCATCCTGTTCATGCGTTACCCCAACTGCCCTCTCATGGTGGTCACCTATCGTCGCCCGCGGGAACCCATTCTCAAGATCTTCAACTTCCACATGAAGCGACAGGAGATACACCGCAGCCTGAGGCGCCTCATGACGATCCGCCTCCCTGGGCCGATGGGTCTGGAGTCAACTGGGACGAGCTGCAGCCCAACGCGCTGCTGGCAGTCAACATGATCGTTCCTGCGATCCTCCCAACGTTGCCCGAGCCCAACTCTTCCACGTCGTCACTTACCTGGGATGTTGAGCGACCGCCTGGCACGTGGAATCCGCAGCAGGTCACCTACGAGGAGCTTCCTGCCAATCAGCTTCGCCAAGCCCTTCTTCTTCTGCACCATCTCTTTCCGAGTTTGACAGAAGATAAGCTCGACTATATCCAGTACCTGCTGCACAACCCCAGCGCGTTCCTCATTAGCGACGATGGACTGGAGCCGTTCGACCCCTATGATGAGGACATAGTGACGATTGTCCCCCGGCCTGCTCACAGAGCGCCTTTACTTCATGGTGCTCGGGCTGATGCGCACTCAGGCTCTTCTTCTGCTGGTGGCCTCGCCGCTCGTCCTGACGGAGCTCATCCTCTTCAAAGTCGGCCAGGTGCTCTTCATGGCCACGATGCCCTTGCCCAAGAACATCCTTCTGAAGCCGCTGGACACCAAGGGGCGTCTGATGGATTGAGGCGCACGGATGCTGGCACTGCTCCAGTGGCGGGACCTTCGCTTGCTGCCGCTGAACATGCGGACGACGAGGAGATGACCGACACCACCCGCTACGCGGTGAAGCTAGTGTTGCAGGAGTTCACGCGGCGCACCTCAAACCCTTCTTCGGCCTTGCTCTCGGCTGCGTCATCTCCCTTGTCGTCGGCGCCTTCTGCATCAACCTCACTCTCATCTCGTTTTCCGCTTTCGGGCTCTCAGATGCTGGCGGTGATGGCGTTCCTTGAGGCCCAGGGCTTATACCAAAGCGAGGTGCAGAAGGCGTTGCACCTCCTCCATGAGCCTGACGTGTTTCTGGATGCTGGTGATGCTCATCACGATGGTCTTCCTGATGTGTCTCTTGAGGCTGAAGCGATCGCTGCCCTGGAGTCTGGTGCGTCCGACCCGGTGTACCTGGACGTTGCCGCCTTGCTCCAAACGGAAGATGATCTTGCCGATCAACTTGGCGACGTCGCGGAAACTCCTGCGGCCCCCGCTCCTCCTGTCCCCGCTGTCGGGCTGCCTGTCGCACTGCCTGCCAGCCTCATCGATAACGACCTCGGCGACGCCA